CCCCCGAGAAAGAACCGGAAGTACCTGTGTATTACGTCACTGGGAAGCCCGGTTCTGTGGGTATAGTGAAGGCAGAGACGCCAGTGTGCGCCAGTAGGGAAGGTGCTTTCGGGCTTAGATGCCCGAGGTCACTAAGAAAAGCTGGGAAGTAGGCCCCAAAATGGCGGCTATTTCCTTAGGAAGCTTGCCTGCTCTTTTCTTCCGCCCATTGGGCTCTGCAGAGACTTCCGCCTCGGTGACTTGCTCTGGCACTTCTCGCCCCGACTTCCCAGCATGCCCCGCGCTGTCTCCTTGACAACAGTGCTAAACAGCCTTGGCGGCTGGTGGTCTCTGTATTCGGCTGGTGCCGCTACGGTTACATTGAGACCGGGAACTCCGGGCATGCTCCCTGGGCTGCCGCTTCTCTGCCCAGGAGGGAAAGGTAATGAGAACTCCCTCCTCTAGGCATGCCAAGTATCGCGGCTCCCGGAAAGGTAATAGTTTCAAGCTGCCGGGTGACTACCTCCCTTTCCGTCGCTAACCCTCCAACCGCAGCTGCCTTAGGTCCCTGGGCTCCTTGCTTTCACAATCTGCTCCAGTCTCCCCCCACGACACTCCCCCACCCCCCAAAAAAGTTGTTGGTACCCCTCGATATACGTTAATCCGCTTTATGAAAATGTAAATTAAACGTTGAGAAGGCAAGGAATTGTTGGTTTTACCTTAATGTTACAGTTTACCTTTAAATTAGGTTTCTACTTTAGTAGAACCTGGCCTCAGTCTGCTCCCTCTGGCTTATTAATATGGGGAAAAGAACAATTTGGCTTCGGACTATGGAGAACACTTCCTTTTCCTCCTGGATTTTGCTCCTAGCCAGATCAGTTTCACCTACATGAGTCTGCCTAAGGCAGCAGTCTGTGCTGCTTTCAGGCAGATCCTAGCCAACTTTCTTTTCCTTTTTTCTTGGGTGGCAGTTGGTTTGCTGGACACTTAATGCTAACAAAGTTTAGTGAACACCAACTGTCTGCCAGGCCTGTTGCCAGGCAGCAGGCATACAAAGATAAATAAGGGGGATTCCTGACACCCAAGCCCTGGTGGACTGAAGGTGTAGGAGTCTTGACAAGTGAACAGGTAGTTCTACAATCTAGACAGTGCGGTACATTCTCAGTAGATGGGGTCCAAGAGGAGAGAAATGGAATAGATGACTAAAGGTGGACTTCAGAGGGGCAGGGCTGAGTCTGTGAGGTTGTGCCAAATTTAGCCTAAAGAGAGCCCTTGATGAGTAGCACTGGGGTCTTTAAAAGCTTGCAAGCAGCCATATAAGATGTCACAGTTGTTCTCTCCTCCTCTGGAGCAAAGAAAAAAGAAGAAAACTAAAGGCACATGGAAACAGTTAGTTCAAGGGACTAGTGGATCATGTGAACATCAGCTTACATGACCCTGAGGCCAAAAGAACTAGATGGTGCCCATCTACCACTGTCAACCACTCAGAAAGGGATCAAAATGGGAGATGCTGGATAAAGTGGGAGAAAAATGTGGAAAAAAACTCAAAATCATAAAAAGACCAGGCTTACTGGTCTGAAAGAGATGGGTGAAACCTCCAAGATCGAGGGCCCTAGTCACCCTTTGAGCCTGGAATTGAACTTACTCCCATGGCTTCCAGCTAAACAATAGACAGCCTATAAGGTGAACATTTACACCAGGTAGGTACACTCCTTAGAACAATCAGCCATGGGAGATCAGAAGAGTATTATTTGCAGGGAGATAGCTCAGAGGGCAGGAATGCTTAGCAAAAAAGGACACAGGGAAAAGGTAATCACAAGGAGGAGGTGGGAAGAGTGCTGTTTCTTTATGGGTATTGCAATCAATGTCATGAAACAAAGTGTGTATGAACTGTTATATGGAAAATTACTTTCTAAACTTTCACCCTGATCACAATTAAAAAAAAAAAAGTAAATTTAAAAAGCAGTCCCTAAAATTTGAAAATAAAATCATGCAAATTAACTTTTAAAAAGAGAGCCCTTGGATGGAGTAAAAACTTGAGTGCTTAGCTGCTAGTGGAAAGGTTGGGGTTGATCCCATATCAAGGCACCTCAGAAGAAAGACCTGGTGATCTGCTTCTGAAAAGTTCATAGCTTTGAAAACCGTACAGGGTACAGTTCTTCTCTGACACACATGGTGTGGCCATGTGTTGGGATGGACTCTACCACAGCTGGTTTGGTTTTAACTCTGTGGCCCAGACCAGACATCTTAAGTCCTGCTGGGTTAAACTCTCATTTACAGATAGCAACCACTGGGAAATTTGACCTTCTCAGAACTGAGTTGGCTGCACTAATTCTATGTTTCATTAAAGAGTACCTTACTCTAGTCTCTGATGTAGGGAATTACTGAATGATCTGAAGGGCCCTTGTCAATAGAAAAGGCTGTAAGTCCATATGTTTCTGAACAGCTTAATTTGGCCAGAATGCATCACTTTTATGGCATATTTGGAGAGCTGCTCAGTTGTTTTGTCAGCAGGAAATTTCACTAACATTTTCTGCAATCTTGATAACCCCACATACATTTTTATTTCTTCTGGTCTTTTGAGGGACAGGCCCCAACTCTGGAGTTCCAACCCAATGCTAGTGTTTTAGTACTGCCATGAGCACAGAGTCACTCAAGTGATTTGGTTTCTTTTTCCAAAACAAAACAACTGGCTACTAGTCTCCTCACTGGCCTCTGGTTAAATACATTATTTCAAGAAGAGAAATACTGTAAATGGCATTCACTTGTTTGCGTTCTGTTTTGAAGATTATGTTTATCCTCTTTGGTGGTTCTTGTGATCACTTCCCACTACCACATGAAGGCAGTTGGCCGTGTGCTGCCATCTACATAGATGTTATACCTTGTTTTATCATCATAAACAATATGTTTTTTCTTATAGCCTTGGAACTGTTGAGTGTGGAAACCTGATTCCAAGGTACAGGCAGTCTTCAATTTAAAATCAGGTTTTCATGTAGATGTAAAGCAAAAACATAATTTTCATCATTATTATAAAATCATTTTACATTTTGATGAAATAAAATAGATTTTGCATTGTTCAAACTCATATGAAACAGTCCTGCCTTTCGTAACTCTGCCATACATTTTATAGCTTCTTGAGGAATTACAGTCTTACCTATAACACCTTTATATTCAGTTAACATTACAATGCAATTTGAGTTTGAACTGCATTTGTGACACTTACTGTTTCCACTCAAGGGAGATTATTGTAAACATAGTGTGTATAATAGAAACTTCAGAAGCAGATCAGAATTTGCTTAGGATGGGGAAAAAAAATTCACTATGAATCCTTTTCCCTTCTCACAGCTATTCTACTAAATGCAAACCAAATCCAAACTCAGTGTGGGTGAATTTATTTAGACTTATAGCAACCTCTCCTTGGGTTTCCAAGGCAGTATCACTATAGGAGTAAATTGCCCAGTCTTCCTTCCGAGGAGTGACAGCTGGGTTTGAACCGCCAGCCTTCTGGTTAGCAGTCAAATGCCTTAGACACTACGCCATCAGAGCAAAAGCCATGGTTTAAAGTCTACAGGGGGAAAAAAAAACCCAAAAAACTAAAAGAACCAGCATCATGCAAGTTTCTGGTTTAATCCTAACTCACTGTCTGTGAATCAAAATAGATATAAGGTGGGATGAGAGTATTACAACAAAAAAAAGTTAATGCAAACAAAGATTTAAGGAAGTGATAATGCTCTTGCATTTGGAATTTTTTTTAAGTAGGTGGGGAGTATAAATATAAAACGAATTACTCATTGTAAAACAGCTACGTCCCAGAACTTTGAGAAAAGTTGGCTGTGATTCAGTTTTGCCAAATTTGGGTGTACAATGGATGTCTCTCTTCCAAGAGATACTGTGGAATCTGTAATATTTCTCTACCAGTTTTCTCTCAAGTTGTTAAACTTAGCCCCTATGATGTAATTTACTCTAATCAAGGTGCATGTAGCACTGTCAACAATTCTCTCCTTTTGTTAGTAATAATTCAGCATCCATTAGTCCTGATCTTTGGACTTGTCATCTTCAAGGCAGTGATCTTAGTATGCTGTTTGGGTGAATCTGAGTATCTTTTAGGAGAATTGAATGTTACATTTCTATAAATGAATAAATCTATTCTCTCTTGTTTGAAGCAATGCTGAAATTCCAAGAGTCTGCTAAGTGTATGAGTGGATCGACAGCTGTTTGCAGTTATCCGAAGACTTTGATTGCAAAAAGATATGTACTTCAACAGAAACTTGGCAGTGGAAGTTTTGGAACTGTCTATCTGGTTTCAGACAAGAAAGCGAAACAAGGAGAGGAATTGTAAGTAAAAGTACTTCATACATATCTTAAATTGGCTACCCTGTATATATGGATTTTAGATTAAGAACATGGAGTGCTGTCCACCTTGCTCTTTCCATTAACCAAGCATTTAGTAAAAGAAAAGCTCCTTGACTGATCTCTTCAGATCAGGGTTTAAAGGCATTTCAGCAGGTGGATAAAGTATCCTAATGACCTAGAGAAGAAAATGAAGTACGTTGTGTGAAAATACGATTTTTATGCATACCACAGTCTCAAATCCAACATTGCTTCCAGTTAACTTGATTGGATCTCCTTGAATGGGAAGATAAGAATTTTTTATAATGGACTGACTGCATTTTTAGCCATATATGAAATGCAAATTCATTCGTGGTAAATAGAGTGTACCAAAAGAAATATGGTATTAATTTTCTTTGGCTTTTCATGGAATTATGGAGAAGATTTTCAAAGTCTGTACCAAAATGGAAAATAAAAAAACCACTGCCACTGAATCAATTCTGACTCCTAGCAACCCTTAAGACAGAGTAGAACTGCCCCAAAGGGTTTCCAAGGCTATAAATCTACATGGAAGCAGACTGCTTCCTTTTGCCCATGGAGCAGCTAGAGGGTTCGAACCATCAACCTTTTGGTTAATGACTGAATGCTTTAGCCACTATATCACTAGAGCTCCTTCAGATTCTGTAGTTGGCGCTCAAATTAGATATTTAAACCAAACAGGGGCTTCCAACTAAAATTAGTTTATGTTGATTACTTCCTTGTGACTCTTCTTTTGATTTAGATAGGATTTTAAAGCATTTATACCAAACAAAACCAAACTCACCGCTGTCGAGTCGGATCCGACTCATAGCGACCCCTCCGTGGGTTTCCAAGGCGATACTACTACAGAAGTAGATTGCCCAGTCTTCTCTTAATAGTATTTGGCAGTATGTCTCTTACAGATGAGGATAAACCTTGAATTTTAGCTTACGGTTTTTTGAATTTGCTGTAGTGAAAAATTAGTTGAAACTGAGGTTAGTTTAAGAAGCTTGGACATCAGAAACACAGGAGGTAGTACCTTACAAAGAATTATCTGTATGAGCTTAATTTGACAACAGTTCATCTAAAGCATAGATGAGAATTTTAAAGGGACAAAGAGCCTAAATAAATGATGAAACAGGATGTATGGGTCAAGATAGTGAGAATAGTAACACTGTATAAAGTATGTCACCGGTTATTGAACTGTTCATGAAAAAATTGTGAAAGATGTATATTTGGTTGTATATATAGCCAACAAAAATACACAAAACATTAAAAAAGAAACATAGGAGGAAATCACCAAGTGCTTTAACTACTGCTCCCCTAGGACACTTGTAGATGAGAAGCCTGTTGTTAGGTGTCAGCAACACCACTCGTCTGTCAGTTTGTCGTACTGTGGTGGCTTATGTGTTGCTGTGAGGGTGGGGGTATGCCACTGGATTGTCAAACACCAGCAGGGCCATCCATGGTGGACAGATTTCCGTGGAGCTTCCAGACAAAGACACAAGGAAGAAGAAAGGGGCCATCCACTTCTCAAAGAATTAGCCAGTGAAAACCTTATGAATATCAATGAAATACTGTCAGATATAAAGCCTAGGTGTGTGGAATGAATCCAGTAGTGAGAACAACTGGCAAATCATTTGGCATCAGAAGGTCTAGTCTAGAATTTCTTGGAAAGGAATAATTCATCATCAGAATCTTTAATGCATAGTACAAACTGTCCATTTTAGCCTTCAGATGTGTTTTGTTTGGTCTGCACAGTGTTTTTTTTTTTTTTTTTCAAAATCTAAATTAGTTGCCAGTATTTAAATTAGACTACTTTCATAAAAATTGAACTTTACATCTTCTGTAAAAAAAAAAAAATTAGAAGATTTGGTAACATACTAACATTGGTGCCTATGTGGCCACATCAGCTGGAGCAGGGTAGCAGATGACTCCTTTAGACAGACCCTGGGCTCTCTAGTTAGCCACATCCCTGCCTCTCCTCACTGTGTCTTACACCTAACTGCATCACACTTTTGTACTATCTGCCTACACTTGTAGATGTTTGATTTTGGAACTCTCTGCTAAAATCATGAAAGGTATTGATGTGGCTCCTTATGAAATCCTAAGATGCTAGAAAGAAGGCAGTACAATGTCATGATTAAGGCCATGGCTTTCAAAGTTGACAGGTCAAGGAATAAAACCATGCCTGTTCTTACCTGTGAAGTTAAGGTTATGCAGGTCTAATCTGAGCTTCACTTTTCTCATCTGTAAAGTGAGTATAATAATACCTTATTAGAATTGTAATAAGGGTTAAATGAGACATCTATCTATTTATATGTAGATATGGATATCACATCGCCTTACACATAGTTATATCTTCAATAATAGTTGACATTCATCTTATTATGTTGTTGTTGTTGTAATGTGCTGTTGAGTCGGCCCCGACTCATAGCGACCCCTCCTTGAGTTTCTGAGGCAGTATCACTACAGAAGTAGATTTGCCCAACCTTCCTTCTGAGGAGTGGCTGGTGGGTTTGAATCACCAGCCTTCTGGTTAGCAGTCAAGTGCCTTAAGCACTATGCTACCAGAGCTCCCCATCTTATTACAGACAATCCACATTAAAGAAACAATTAAAGGCAGCCTAATAAATATCTGGTTAATCACTACCCAGTAACTGCAATTAGAACTCTACTAAATGGAAGTTTTTTCTTTTCTTACTTGCATTCCATTTTTAAGAGAAAAATTTCCCAAAAAAGCACTCAAATAGTAGGCATGTGACTTTTTTTTTTTTCTTTTTTATTGTGGTTTGGGTGAACGTTCACAGAGCAAATTCAGTTTCCATACAGCAGCTCACATACACTTTGCCTCATGACATTGAATGTGATTTACGGCAGTGCAACAGCTCCCCTCCCACTTCCTCCCCATAGTTACCTCTTCCCTGTGTCTTTCCATCCATGAATTTCTGTCCCCCTAAGCTGTCGCCCGGTGTGAACATAGTCCTTCTATTCTCCCATGATTGTTCTCTCTGAGGAGTGTATCTACCTAATATAAATAAATGTTCAGCTCATATGCCTGTCTTTTGTTTGGCTGGAAGCCACAGGAGTGGGTTCAATTCCAGACCTGAAGGGCAGCTAGGGACCATAGTCTTAGTGGTTCCATCAGGCTCTATCAGACCAGCAAACCTGGTCCCTTTTTCTTTTTTTAATCATTTTGAGTTTTGTTCCACATTGTTCTCCCACTCTATCCAGGATCTCCTGCGTAGATCCCCCTCTGAGTGGTTGACAGTGGTAACGAGGCACCACCTAGTTCTGATCTCATAGTCGTATGGGCTGTGGATCGCATGGTGTACCAGTTGCTTGGACTAATTGTTTCCATGAATCTTTGATTTTTTTCATTCTTCTTTGCTCTGGATGAGGAGAGACCCATCGTTGCATCTAGATGGCCACTTGCAAGCTTTCAAGATTCTAGTCCCTACTCGCCAAAGTAGGATGTAGAACAATGTTTTGTGTAGTATGTTATGCCAATTGGGCTTGATGTCCCCTGTGACTTTGGTCCTGAGCCCAAAGGACCAACTACTCACTCCACCGGGGAACTCTCGGCTGTGGCCAAGAAGTGACTACAACCTTGTCCTTGTCAGCTCTATTATATACCTAGGAATTCTTTTTTTTTAATTGTGATTTGGGTGAAGATTTACAGAGCAAATTCACTTTCCATACAGCAGTTCA